CGGATCGCTCGGGCACACAGACACACCAATCGGATCGCTCGGGCACATAGACACACCAATCGGATCGCTCGGGCACACAGATACACCAACTGGATCGCTCGGCACACAGACACACCAATCGGATCGCTCGGGCATGTAGACACACCAATACGATTGCTCGGGCACGTAGACACACCAATTGGATCGCTCGGCACACAGACACACCAATCAGATCGCTTGGGCACGCAGTCACGCCAATCGGATCGCTCGGCACACAGACACACCAATCAGATTGCTCAGGCACCTCAAAAGCCAGTGTGCGATGTCTCAGTCTCCTTCATTTTAAACAGTGAACTCATTCTAAACATATATCCATGTGTTCAAAAATTGCCAGAAAAGTGGTCAGTTTCTGAGCAAACCATGGGTGTCTTTCGCAGGAGATCCAGGGACAAGATCACCTTCCTGCAATGTCATCAAATGGACTGGCTCCTTCGAGCCAGTGAGCTTTGTTGGAGAATGCAGCGAGCTGCAGCAATACACTGGGCTTTTGCCACATCATGGGCTGCTGCAATACACTGGGCTGTTGACCAAAGGCTGGCGTGCTGCAATACAGTGGGCCACTACAGTTGGGCAGGCAGCTGAGGTACACTGGGTCATGGCAATATAAAGGGCTAAGGCTGTCAACTGGGCTGCTGCCTCACACAGGGCCGCTGGAAGACAGTGTTAGGGAACCAATGACAGAGTCTCTCGGGACTCTGGAAACCTCCTGTTTCTCCCACCAGTGGAGAAGAGGAGAGAATTCGTTGGGCATCAGTCTCATGGGAAGATGCTGGCAGTGTCCAGGTAAACACAGTCAGGTTGATACTCAGACATAAAGAAATGGGAGGTGCACAGCTCTTGCAGCCTGCTCCTCTATTCAATACCAGCCACTCTAGTCTTCATCCTCAAGGCGACTTTCCTGTCTGATCCCCTTTGACCTCAATCCCCTTCCGCATCCGAAAATCAAACTGAGCTTACAGAGAACTGTTATACTCCCTAAGCCTGAGCAAAGACATTTCTTAAGTCAGCTGTGAATACGGGCACCCTATCTAGACAGTGAGACTGTCACCCCCACCACCTATTTGCAGCCCAACGAATGCCAGCACCTGTCTGGTCTGGTCCTGGAAGAATTTGATGTGTTTCGACCAGGTGGCCACTTTGTCCTTCAGAATCCCTGAGGCTTTCTCAACATGGTTCCAGGGTCACTTCAAAAAGTTGGGGGGGGGGGGGGCGGTCACTTGAAAGGGACTCACTTGGAGGGTCTAGGGAGAAGAAGCAAAGGTCCGGGACTAAGTTAGTCTGCTCCTGCATGCAGCAGGAGACACGCTGCAGACAGAATAAGGCGAGCAGCTACAGTCAGAGATTGCAATGGCCTGTTTGTTTGCATGCTGGATGGTTAGATCATTTTCCCTCTTCTTCCGCAGGATTGCTCCCAGATATCGCTGCATCTCTCCCCTCTCCCCTCTCTGCGTCAAACCCTGGCCAGGAAAGGAAGGATTAAAAATACCTTGATTTTGAATGCTCTCTTGAAGCCACTGGCAAAGAATCCTCCAAAGGGACCAATCAGAGAGGCGAAGGTAGAGAGGGCAATGCTGTGAATCTGGAAGGGGTACAACCGGATAGTCTCCTGCAGTCATGAAAGAAGAAGCACAGATAAGCCTTAGGATCAAATTTTTTTTGCTTTTTTTTTTGTAAAGTTGCAAAATTCTAGCCTTGAGGAGCCGAGCATCTGACCCTGTTCTGCAGACACATGCATTGAAGAATCGCTCAGCCTGTTATTTTATGCCCTTTCGGTTTCCTGGATTTCCAAAACTGTCTCCGACTGCCCGGCCCCTCAACATCAAAAACAAAAGCAGCTCTCAAAACTTCACTCGTAAAGTCACTGAAGACATACCGAGCCTAAAATGGACTGGGCCAGACACGGGATGCCGTAATCCTGGAGCTGGAACAGTTCTGATGGCTCACAGTCCACGGTGAAACTGTTGGCGTCATTGTTGAACTCAAATGGGCAGACAAAGTATTTGTATCCCGACATCACATAGGAAAGCTGCAAAATACAAACATACTCGAGAGTGAGAACATCAGGCTAAAGGCACAAACCCAGGTTAAGACTGCTGGCTCTACTCAGCCCCAAGCCTGTACCTCTATTCTCTTGTAACACTGCACTCAATGGTCTCGATAAAGTGACTGCAAAAATGTGACTCACATCACTGAGCAGTAACAGACCTCTCCAGCGGCCTGTATTCTAATGCATTGTCCAGCCAACTCACTAAAGGTTCCTTGGAATCACGCAATGATGGAGCACGTGAGGCCATCTGCCCACTTTCCCATGCAAGCCCTTTCGACAGCTAACCAACAAGCCCCTCTCCAGCAGATGTTTTCAAGTATCTGTACTATTCCCATGGGAATGTTCCCACTGAATGTGCTCCCTGTTGCCTTTTCAGGCAGCACATATTAACTCAGTACAACACTCATTCTCTCCAGCCCTCTTACTCTTCCACAATGGGTTCTGTGCGATTGGATATAGCTTCTCTGATTTATCCCAGCAAATTCCTTCCTCAATTTGAACATCTCTCTGCGAGGAATGATCCCAGCATCAGCAGTATCTCCCATTGCTGCTGCTGCTATAGTGAATTCACCTCTTTCTAACCCTTTCCCCATGATCTTTTCGATCACCCAGCAATCCTTCTCACATGAAGCAACTGCCTCTTGCACAGTAAGTGACTCATGCCCAGGTCTCATAAAACAAAAGGTGGAAATTCAGAGCAGAAAGCACTTTCTTGGTCATTCCCAAAACCATCTTGTACTTGCTCTGGCTTTTAACAGGTTGTTTTTCTTGACCACAAGGTTTAAGAAACACAAGTTCTGGTTGCTTAAAAAAAAAGTTTACAGAATCACGATTGCGTGGAGAAGTGATGTTGGCTCCATGCTCTTTGTCCTAACCCTGTACAAGGCGATTGTTTTATTCAATTCTTACCACAAGACCAAATAAAACAGTGGAGAAGAATCCTCCGATAAATCCTTCCCAGGTCTTCTTGGGGGACAACTGCAAGAACAGAGATATGAAAGACGTTCAGATCGTTTCTGCATTGAACAGGTTGCTGTCGGTTGCATGATTTTGGAACTTGTTCCTTGAAATTTTACTAGAAACTGCTTTGCAACTTGAAGTTCAGCTTGAACTCAAGGCTGTGAGCCACATGTGGGAAAGTGGTACTTGTGTGGGGAAGCATATGACTTGATGGGCCAAAGGGCCTTGTTTCTACTGAATAACTCTTATGAAGTGACTCCCACAAAACCTGACATGATACCAATGTGTCACACGTTTGTGTGCAAACAAACTGCGTCAGTGACTGGTTAGAAACAAGGCTGTTTCCCCTGTCTCCCTCCACACCCTGGTCTCAATCTCTTCAGTCCTGATCTGGGCCAGGCTGGACCTGAATTCAATGGAAAAGGTGTACAGAAGTGGAAGCCCTCCACTTTCGCCACATCACACCATGTGGAATTCCCTTTTAAACAGGATCCAATGGGTCTTGCATACTCCAGAGCTTCCCTAGCCATTTTCAGAGGTCCATATTGTTTGTTTGTCTTGATATGCTTCCCAGCATCAGGCCTAAACTTGACTGTGAGCAATTTCTATCTTGTCCTGCACTTCCAGCAAAGTAATCCATTCCACTGGGACTTCCCATACTTTGAGATGGTTACCTCATCTCAACACAGAAAGAATTCAAATGCTTCCAGCTTCTCTTCAACAAGTCTAGCGATAGGTCTGACAGATCCAAGCTGATGATTATGCCCGACATGATACGCCACCTGCCTTTCTTCAGGTAATTCCAGCAGCATATCCTTCTATTCCTTTGTCACACAAATCTGGAGCAGGAGAAGGTCAGTTTGCTCCTGTGGTTGCACCACCATTCGATGGCTGATTGAACTGCCACCTCGTATCCATATTCCTGTCTACCCCGTTTGCCCCCATGCTTTATAAGAATTGATCCACCCTTGGCTTGAAAACATTCAAGAATCCTGCTCCCAGCACCTTGTCAGTGAGGTAGTCCCAAAGACTTGCAATCCTCCTCAGAATTTTTCTACGCACTCTGTTCTTAAGTGGGCCACCTCTGGTTTTTAAACAATGACCCCTCACGTCCACAGTGTCCCTTACGTCTTTATTCGGTTTCCCCTTAAAGGTTTTGTCTCAACCACTCCATGAAATGGTGAGTCTCTCCAAGAGAGCTCTCATGCAGGGCATCAGCTCCGTCCAGTTTCCAGGATTAGAACTGACTCGTTCAGTGTGATTTCTATGAAAAACACAGAGATCCACTGGATGTTGTTGAAAGGGAATCGGAGATTTCTGTCAAAGTGTGATATGGCCAGGGTGAAGGGCTTTCAATTCTGCACATTTTATACAATTGGATTCAGACACAGCCTGGCCCATCTGCAGCGCAAGACAGCCCAAATGGACAAGAAGCTTGGTTCAACCCCATGCTCTGCCTTTCATCGCTCCAATCTGGGAAGCCTTCCATTTTCCCGGATCCCACTTCAGTGTCCCCATTTGTAAATCTATTGTGAACAATTTGTATTTGAGTCTGATGAGGCAATAAAAGATTGTTCCTTCCGCACCTGCAATTATCCATCTACAATTTTGATCAAGTAACAGTGGAATTATAAAATCCCTACAGTGTGGAAGCAGGCCATTTTACCCATTGACCCTCCAAAGAGCATCTCACCCAGACCTCACCTCCTACCCTACCCCTGTAACCTTGCATTCAAGTGCATCAGTAGGCCATGACAATTCACAGGCAGTCTGTCAGAGACCATACATTTTTATTTTTGGGACCGTAAACTGAAGTGGAAGTTGGACTGCTGCATAACTGACACACTAGGACAATTTTGCAACTTGCAACTAAAGTGCTGCATATTTGTGAGATGTTGCTTTTTGAAGCAGTGAGTGGGAGAATATGGCGGCGCAGAAATTCAGGAAATTCTGCCTGACGACAGCCCCCTGATGGGTTGAGCCGCTGACTGTCTGAAGCTGTAGGTGTCCGGGCAGCACAGAGAGAAATAATCCACGGCCTGCAAACGGAAGGCATCCATCTCCCCCTTCACCCACCCCCCACCCTACTGCCACCCCAATCTCTCCATCACTGTGGGACAAAGGCAGGGAGTCAAAACCACTCAAAACAAAGATTTGAAACCAGAAATGACTTCGATCCACCCGAATATTGCTGAATCAAAGAGCGACCAGCACCCAACAGAAAACAGAATGTCATCAGTGCTACAAACAAAAAAAAAATAGATTGAGGGAGACAATTTCACCCACTTTGAAATGTGGACTTGAGATCTTTGGAATTTTTTTAATCCTGTCTGTATTCCTTTTCTGCCCACAGTACCTGTGTCAAACTGTCTTAATTGTGAATGTGTGTGTGTGTGTGTGTGTGTGTGTGTGTGTGTGTCTCTGTCAGTGTGACAGAGAGAATGTGTGTGTGTGTGTATTTGGGATTTCTGAAGGGATATCATTAAAGTTGTCTGATAGGATTTCTCATGTACTTTCTTTGCTTTGCTATTTCTTAGGGTTAAGTGTAAAGGTTGAATATACAAGTTATTTTCTGTCGATGATGAGACCTGGTGTGAACTGCCTTTGCCCCGAGTGCCAGTTTGTCAGGCAAACTGGTCACCTGGCTGGTTTAGATTGGCTCCTTGCCCGTCTGAAATGGCTTGTGGAACAGTACGCAATGGTTAGCACACTATGCCCAGTTCCATTATAACACGTGTAACTTCCGCACTGGGTTCTAAGGTGAACATTCACTGCACATCAGCTTATGGGAAAGGAAGGCTTCTGAGTGCCTTCCCCAGTACTCCCAGCATCAAATACAATCAGCTGTAAAGGAGGAAGCACAGCCTAAAGCTCCCTCAACTCACACTGTGCTTCAGCTTCCAACAGAAGACCAGTCTGTGTGTACCTAGCTGCCGTGACTCATGGTAAATAGCAGACTGAGCTCACTGGTCAGTGCAAACTGGGACTGACTGAGGTGCCTGCTTCTCTGGTTGGAATTGATTTTAATCTCTGCAACATGAGGTAATGTGTGTTTGTCTCGTCACTGACCTTGATGAGGGGAGTTCGGCCAAAGAAGAATCCAAACATGTAGGCCATGATATCATTGCAAATCACACAGGAAATGGGCACGATGAACCTGAGAAACAAAGCAGAGGGAGCAACGGTCAAACAGTATGTGCTGAACAGGACAAGAGACCACTCAGAAATCTGCAATCTTTAAACCACATGGAAACCTCATCATATCAAGCGAGTAGCAGCTGAGAAATGTATTCTCGATGAGACGGCGCTCTCTGAAGCTGTGTCCCAGGCTGTTAAATGCAGTTCTGTTAACGTAACTCATGATCAGCCTACAGGTACCAGGGCTATAGTACTCAAGCAAGGTATTCAGATATGGCTGTGCAATGGCTTTGTCTGAGCAGGGAATGGACAGGCACTATCTGTAGGTTAGAACTTTTAGACCCGAATTAATTCAAGTTGAGGCTGCAGAGGAAGACAGGATCAGGGCTCATTTGGAGGCATGGTATTTGTATAACATCCTGCCGATTGGGACAGGGTTAGACCAACATTCTGTCTCTCAGGCTCGAGAGATGTTCCATTTGTCTTGAGCATGGAGTCGCTGGAATGCTCATGTGGCATTGAGGTTAAAAGTGCCTGAACATAACTGGATGACTCAAACCTTGAAAATTCCTTTCGGGGGATTAAATGGGAACATCATCTTTTTGACCTTGCCTTGAAACAGGAATTTCCGTGACATCCCGTTCCCAAGGATGAGAACCCGTGAATCTCGTGCTACTGCGAAAAGGGGATGCCTGATCTGATGTCTCACTGAGCTGGGCACAAGGGTGTGCCAGTCTGGCCACCCCTCAGTCACTGACTTCACCATCGGCTGGAACACTCAGCTCAGCTTCAGCCACTGCTGCTTTCTCCTTAACACTGACGGACACGGCAAAGAGCTGGAAAAGGCCGCTGCCGCCCACCCTCTGCCGGGATAAGGTCCAACTGGGCAGAACTGGGCGAAAACACAAATACTCCATGTGTGAAACCGGCACAAGCTGACACAATCCTGCGCGATGGAAACTGGATTGTGACCTACCAAATCATCCCATCAAACAGGTTGTGGATGATGAGGTGAGACTGCGTAACGACGATCAGCAATGTCACGTGGGTCCATCCAAACTAGGAAGGAACAAAGGACATCCAGTTAAAATGCTGAGGAGGCTTGTATTCCAAAGGCCAGAGCGCCAACACGTGTAACCAAGAGAATCGAGACAATTGAGAACTGTGCACGACTAGGGTTTGTCTGGGTACGTCCCACAATGGGCCTGATCCCTGTCCGTTCAGCAGTGGACAATCACACCTTAGGCAGCAAAGATAGTGGGATCAGCCACACTCCCAGGCAGTACCCTCCATCAAAGGCACTGGCCTCTCCCTCCCTCCCCACCTCCCACACTTTTGTTCTGCCACAGCACAATGAGCTGGCTGTCCTTACACATGCTCCCCCACATCCACACAACTGCACAGTTCTGCCTCAGCTTCAGGCATGTCCAAGACACTGCACAAATCACATCCAACCGGCAGGCTGGGATGACGCCCAGGAACTGGAGAACGTGGCACTTGCAAAGTCAACACAGAGTGTGTTTTCCCTGTGAACGCCAGGGGTTTACATACCATGTAGAACTGCAGTCTGTAATGCTTCTTCACCAGGCTCAGGACAAACATGCAGAATCCTACAAACAAAACAACAAGTCACTGTCTACAGCCTGCAAGCAGACCTTTGTCAACAGGAATTTAAATGAACAAGGACAGGTGGGATTTTAGGGTGCTTGCATACCTCTGGTATACGTTGAGAATGATCACTGAGGAACAATTTGGGCTGAGTTCACCGACTTCTGCTGGCTGTGATAAATCACGTTTCAACAACGTTGAACAGAAAAAGTGAAACCTGCAGCAAAGATCCAGGCCCTTCGGTCTGACAGATCAATGTCCACCTCGATGCTGCTCACCGTCCTTCTCCCACCTTACTTCACCTCACCCTATCAGCACGTCCTTCTAATCTACTCCTTCATGCATCCAGCTTGTGAGTTCACCTCAGGGACTTCTCCTGGCAGCAAGTTTCACACTGCCTCTGGTCAAAGAGGATCAGCTCAATTCCCAGACAGGATTATTGCCGATTACACAGTCGTTCCCAACTCCTACTCTCAGGTCATTGAGAAGCGAGTGCAGGATCAAGCTTGGGTGCAAATATCTCCCTGGATCCCCCTTCACCAGCCCTCCCTGACAAGCCTCAAACAGCTCATCCATATCACTGAGCTCCCATGGGGAAAACTGAGTCAAGAGGGAGCAGAATACGTTAGGGTCTGTTGTATTCAATTCCAAGAACGGTAACAGCTTCAAAAGAGAGGAGCAGAAGTTGCAAAGTTTAAGGACAAGTGCTCTTCATCTCTGAAGCTGGCCAGCCTCACACTGTTCTTTGGCTCTGTACCACCCTTTATCGCTAACTCCCAAAAGGCACAACAACTATATCACTCTCAATCCAAATTGATTCTGCCCCTTTCATCAGAAACTTCAGGGGAGATCCTGAACTTTAATCTCTTGTTCTTTTGGTTGAGTGAAACAGCAGTACACTAATTCAAGAGCTGAAATAACCTCAGACCACAACTTGCAACCCCAAAGTGTTCCTGCATGTTATCTATAACCTCAAAGAAGATTAGCTTTGGATGATCACTTTAAGAGGGACAGAAAGATGGTATCTGGGTCAAGTGCAGCACACAACAGATGGAAACACATTTCTGCTGGGAGCTGGTTCCAGTAAAAAAAAACCTTTGCTCATCACAGATTTTCCCAGCTAGAGTTACTGATTGAATAAGTGAAGTATTTGAGATGAAAGACAAGGCCATGGTTGGAAATACTGGGGAGAGACAGTCGGTAACCATCTGAAGTGTTGACTTGACATGAGAGAATGTCACTGGGCTAGAATTCCAGAGTTGCAGACTGATGTTCTGGGATCATGGGTTCATATCTTGCAATGGCATATGGTGACATTTGGATTCAAGAAAAACCTGGAACCAACAAGTAGTCTAGTGATGACCACGTACCCAGTGTTGACTTGTCCTGTTGACCTGTCGGTTCCCTCATATCCTCAGGGAAGGACAGCTATCATCCTTACCTGGTCTGCCCTGTGTGTGACTCCAGGCCCATAATAATGGGGTTGACTCTGAAGTGCCCTTGGGAATGGCTGAGGAAGATGCTCTACTCAAGGACAACAGGGAATGGACAATGGTGATCCAGCCAGTGACTCCCACATACCATGATTTATTTTAAAAATGAAGGCCTACAGGCAGATGGTACAAATGTCACTGAAAAGATTGTGTGTGTTCTGACAACCAATCTCCACTTTTAGCATCAAGTGGAACTTGTGTGCCATTTATCACAGACAGCCTGACACCAGCAGCTCCTATGGTAGGGGATCCATCTGACCTGTTTTACTCAGACCACCTTTCAAGGACCTGCTGTGCAAAAGGACAGTACAGGTCAACTGCAGACCAGGTTGGTTAGTTCTTGTTAACTTCAACTTCCAGATCAATGCTGGACACCTTTCTCTGTGTCTACATTTACCTGTATTTGTAAAATGATAAAAGCATCAAGTCTGGTGGGTGTCACCGTTGAGATGATGATTAATCTCTCTAATTCTATGATTCTAACAGCTTCCTTCCTGTCATACTGACATATCACCATATGTGCTGACTCAGTCTCTGTCTTGTATATTATTTGACCTTTCATTTATAAAAGATTCAAACAGCTACCCCACCAAATCCGATGAGCTCAGTCAGATTTTGAGAGTGCTGCCATTTTACACATGGTTCTCTGCTGATTGAGGAAATACAGGTTCTGTTATTTTCACAGATCGCGTCAGGTCAACTGAGACAAGCAAGCAATAATACCTGCCAGGTAAAGAGCAAACGAAATGAAACGATGGTATTTGCTCAAGATCCGCAGGGGCTCCTCCCTCTGAACCAGTGTGAAAAACGTGTCTGTTACCGTCTCCCCATAGAAGAAGTAGTTGGCACACAACAAGAAATACCTGCAAGAGAAAACAAGGTTAAACATTTTATTTGAAAACTCTTTAAGCAGGGTAAACCAAGCACTTTCAGAACAGGAAGATATTAGACAGTGTGAACCCATGGGGTACTGCCTTCCCGTAAACTGTGAATGCTTCCGGTCTGCGAAAGTTGCAATCTTAATATCATAAGATCATAGAATCCCTACAGTGTGGAAACAGGCCCTTTGGCCCAACAAGTTCACACCAACCCTCACAGCATCCCACCCAAACTCACCACCCCCATAACACACCTCACCTACACGTCCCTGAACACTACGGGCAATTTAGCACGGCCAATCCACCTACCCTGCACATCTTTGGACTGTGGGAGGAAATCTACGCAGACACGGGGAGAACGTGCAAACTCTACACAGACACTCGCCTGAGGATGGAATCAAACCCAGGCCCCTGGTGCTGTGAGGCAACAGTGCTAACCACTGAGCCACCACTTAGACATTGCTCACACCATCTCTCTCTGCTCCATACCATCCCACCCCAAAATTCTGTTTCTGTGCTCCTCCAATTCTGTGTTTCACACACAGCCCAGCCCCCATGCCATTTCTGTTGCCCCATCAGTGGCAGCTGTACCTTCAGCTGCCTCAGCCCCCAGCTCTGAATTTCACTCCCTAAACCTCCCCACCTCTCTTTCTCATTTTCTCTGTCCTGATTTTAGCCCTCCTTGGCGTCCACCCCTTCAGTTACATTTTTTAATCACCTGTGCCAATATCTTCTTGCGTAGCTCAAAGTCAAAGTTTGGAAAATAACACTCCTCTGTAGCACTTTGGGACTTAGTTATTCAAATATAATCTGCTGTTGTCATTTGCTCAGAAGTGATATTTGCAGCATATTGGAGCTGGGTAAATGATGACGAACCCAACTCAGTGAGGAACACAAATGTGTCCAATTAAATAATATGAAGAAGAGCACCAAGTCTTGAAAACCACCTCACATATAATGTCTCGTGTGGGTACCCCATGTCCTTGTCAACACAAGGTGAATTATTTAAAAAGTTTGCAATGCAAAGTCGATACAGTTAGGCAGCTGACAGTTCTGACTTTGCTGAGCTTATCTTAAACATGATCCCTGAGCTGGTCAGGTGACTAAAGGAGCACCAGATCTAAACTCTCTCAACTCAGGTTTAAACACTCAATGTTTGTACTGGAGTCAGACTATGACTTAGTTCATTTTTCAGGCTGAGCTTTTAATTCGAGACAGTTTGCATTGGGTGAGAACACAGTGTTTGCCTCCTCTGTGTGTGTGTGCATGGTGCAATGTACTCTCAGCACTGCTAACTACATGATTGGGGAAGGGATTGTTCAGGAGGAATGCAAGGAGAAGCCCGGAAGATTCAGTATGTTATTCATATAGTCAGTCAAGCACGTAAAATTTAGAATCACTGAAGTTTTTTTTTGCCAGGTCTCCAAAGGGGCTCTCTTATTGCTATCACTGATATTTACAAAGAACACATTTAGTACAAGATAACGTAGTGGGAAGTGCTCCCACTCACATGGGGTAAGATCTGTATTTCTTGATGATCAACAGGGCTGGGAAGAACAGATTTTCACTTCCACTCCCTCAATCCTACAGATGAATTTTGCATCACAGGTCAGTTTGTGCCAATGAAACAGTACGCCAACTTTCTCAGGACAAATGGTGACACAGTTGGAGGGGCAAGAGAGAGTGGAATTCTGATTTAAAACAAAAACAGTAAAAAAAACTTCTGGCTGCTTTCAGATAGTGACACGTGCACCTCAATTCCGATTTCTCACAAGGCCCCCAGGCTTAATTCACTCAGCAATGTTTTTTGCTTGTGCCTTTGTTCCTGCACTTTTGGCCAAATGCTTCTCAATGGGCTCACCAGCTCAGAGTCCGGAACCATGGCAGATGGTAAGAATGATAGACGTTGTAGCCGATGAGGATAATCTCATGAAAGCATTTGATCTGCACACAGAGAACCTATGAAAATAAAAGAAAAACAATACACTGTGATCAGTACTTGGCCTTCCAAGCCCATAAGCAGCAGTCATTGCCACATTTGATAATGTGCTGCACACTTTTAGTTGCATTGAGAGAGTAAATTCACCACTGTACAACAACTGGGAGGTATTTTACATGGGGTCGAAAGCTCGGAATGAGGGGAGGTCCTAGATGAACAAGGATTAATCTTCAGACGACAAATTTCCAGAATCCTTGAATCCCTCTGTGAATGTTTCCAAGTCCTACATGTGAGGTTGAGGGACAATTTGCAATTGCAGTTTATTGGGTACACAAGATCACCAAATGAAATCTGGTTTGAAACCCAAGTATTGCAGGGCATCAGCCGGGAAACGTCGCTATGAGATAATTATGCTGAAGGTCAAGATCAGATCAAATCCTTCCTGCTGCCACTGGCTTGAAACTGTTATCCCTTTAAAAATACATGCCCTCAAACTGCACAAAACAAACAGTCTGCAACACGGTGATCGTTAGAAATATCATTTCCAGTTACATTTTGTTAAAAGCTCTAAATACATTTGTTCAGTCTTAACTAAACTTCAAGTACCATGCTCACTGATTATTTCAGCATATGTCACCGCTCAGTGTATACTCATCTCTTCCATTGCTGTATCAGTCAAGTTTGTACGTTAATGTGCTGATCTTGCTCCAAAGTCTCTGATATTCCTCTAAAGTCTCTGATATTCCTCCAATATACTGCAAGCTGATGTTTTTGATGTTTTGATGTTTATAGTTTGTCTCTGTGTCAACAGAGTTTTTTGTAAAAAAAGTATATGGTTTGTACTAGGTCCTAAGAGATTGTTTTATTGATGAAAACATGGCTTTGTGAATCCTAGTACTTTGTGAATCTGTCTTTTTTTGAACCGGTCTAAGTCATTTGGCCCTGAGTTTAAATATCTTGTCTGTGCTGACACATTACTACCATCACCTCTGGGCTGGCAAGAGACAAAATCAGTGACCATTCCTTCCCTAACATACCATTCACCGAGTCACAATTTCGTGTGTGTTCATCTACTTGCGCAATAGATCACAGTAGCGGTACTCTGACAAACAACACTTCCCGCAATCAATTCCCCTCTGAGGAATGGCCCCCAGTTTTGGCTCGGTAGCATCACTCCTGCTTCTCAAGCAGCAGAAGGTTGTGGGTTCAAGGCACACTCCAGCCAGTTAAGCACACAATGCATTCTGACATTTCACCCAAGTTCTGCAGCATTTGCCAGAGGTGCTGTCATTCAGTGAATGCTTGAATCACTCAGAAAGCTCCAAGGCAATATTGGAAGAAACAACATGAGAATTCTCCCTTGAAAACAGTTCAGCAGATCACCTATCTCACTGCTCTTTGAGCTGGGATTTTGCTGTGTTGAAACGCACGCAGACGCAAACCGCATTGATATCCATAACAATGGAGACTCAATGTTAAAAGCAGTTCAGCGACTGGGCATGCCATGAGGTCCTGAAAGACGTTCTCGAAACGTCAGTCGTTTTTCAGTTGCCGTGGAGGGAGGGGTGTGAGACAGCAAATCTCAATCAATATATACAAGGTTACAAAATCATGATTTCCCGTGGAGGAAGGGAGGCTTCCTGCACACATGGGTACACACGCACTTAACTTGAGCTAAACAGGACTCCCGGAAATGAATGCTAAATACTGAAAAGGTTCGAGTTTTGAAATCAAAACAAAGTGCTGGAGAACCCCCCGCCCCGGATTCTGCCCGGCCTGCTGAGAGAGACACAGAGTTAACCACAGAGCATCCATGGAATCCCTACAGTGTGGAAACAGGCCCTTCGGCCCAGCAAGTCCACACCGACCCTCAGAGCATCCCACCCAGATCCATTCCCCAAACCCACCTAATCTACACATCCCTGAACACCACGGGACAATTTAGCATAGCCAATCCACCTAGCTTGCACATTTTTGGACTGTGGGAGGAAACCGGAGCACCCGGAGGAAACCCACGCAGACATAGGGAGAATGTGCAAACTCCACACAGACAGTTGCCTGAGGGGGAATTGAACCAAGGCCCCTGGCGCTGTGAGGCAGCAGTGCTAACCACTGAGCCACCGTGCCGCCCCCAGGTCTTTATTTTTTATCCTTTTGAGTCCAATGACTTTTCTACAGAAGACAAATTGACAGACTCATGCTTCTTTCTTTTGCCACAGATATAGGTAGACTGGCTCAGTTGTGTTCCTGTGGAACAAGTTTGTTCTCATTGACAAGAAAAGAGATGACGTACACTTTACATTTCCAAATCAATGCACGTGTGCAAAGTGCAGCACTGAAACTTACTATCATCATGAGAACCATGGGGCCGAGATAGATGATGAGGAAGAAGAAACTGATCATGGCCAGGGTCAGGATTCCTCGCACCCACCAGTTCTTCCATCTGTCAAAACAAAGGAGAAGAGTTTTACAATTCCAGCATCAAGGAATCTAAACAAGTCACGTGCTGTTCCTCAACCCAATTCCGACTCCCTGTGACCTCACTTATTTCCTCATCGAGGTCAGCTTGGCTTACGGTTAACACTCTCCCGTTGAAGCTCAAGCTGTAATGGACTGAGCTATAAAATGGCTCCACCGTTCCCCGGCACCTCCTGTCCCCAGCTGTCTCCCTAATGGAGCCTAGCACCTGAACCCAGTCCTGACTGTGGTACTCAGTGTCGGCTAGATGCCTCAGAGTGAGATGTTAAACCAAATCTGTTGACATAAATGATTCAAAGGGCGTAGCCAAGGTTTATCAGGTCACATTCAAAGCAAGCAGAGAACTGGGTCCCAGCTCTTGAGGAACAGAATTGAAAGACAGAAGAAATTCAATTTGGAATGAAACTTGCTTAGGACACATGGCATACTACGCAACATTCTGATCATCGTAGGATTAAAAGGGCAGATAGGCAGTGGATTAGAGAATATCTTGAGAATGCTAGCCACATTCTAAGGAAAAGGTGAACAGAGCAGCGATGTTGCCTCTCAAAGGTGGAAAAGGTCTTGAGCATTATGAAAGGAACTGCAGGAAGACAGAATGAGATTTCTCCCCCTTGCAGAGAAGACCAAAACTGGACGCCACAATTAGAAAACAGTCACACAAAAATCCAGTCGGAAATTCACTGCAACGTTTGTTACCCAGACAGTCAACTGCATGAGGGGAATAAGATAGCTGGATTCAGGGGGAACATAGGAGATCCTTACTGCTTCATCTGGGCATACTAATACAGTTTCATCAATGGAGAGTGGCAGGAGTACGATACTGCACAGTATTATCAGAATGCATCAGTTGGGCAGAACCTTAGAATAATTCCACGTATGTCAGCTCTCTCAAGTCACTATCCAAGATCCCACAGAGCAATGCAAAGATGAACAGGAGAGTTTTCTCAGTGTCCAAAGACGTCGGTAAGGCACACGGAAGGGGAGGTGTAGTGATTCAAACAAGGTCGGCCAGGTGGATCTTACTGGTTACCAGCTCCCTGCTTGGGGCTGTTAACCTGGTCCAATCAGGGAGCCCTGGCTGACAAACAGGAGTGTCAGGCATCCTGTTCACTCTGGCTCTGAGGAAACCGGATCAGTGTCAAAGATCCTCCACATGTAAATAAAGGGTGATGTGGTGATGGGATACTGGGCCTCCGTGGAGTTAGTTCAGGAGGGGACTGAAAGTCCACTCGCAGGGAGTTCAATTGTTGATACAAACTTCCTGTCTGTGCTATTCAAATGAAATTGTCTTGCTCCTTCATTTTTTGCAGAAGTAATGCTCACGGCATTCTCATCAGAGTTTGTGATTGATCGGTGTCTGAGGAATTTCATCCCCAAAAAGGCAGCTGTTTTCAATGAAATTGATCAACCTCCCAGCTCAAGTGCAATGGAGTCACACTTGATACAGGTTGCAGGGTAAAAGTGTATAGATACCTAGTGATTGAGCCTCGGACAAATGCCACAGGCTCATCAACAGCTTGCATGATTGAGATCTGTCTAGCACCTTCAACATTCATTCCTTCACCAACACTAAATACAGCAGCGTTACCATCGATTCAAGGCTCCTTTGGTAGTGCCTTCCAAACCTGCGACCACTTCATACTTTATAGTCATCGCATGGATTGGAGACTCTTTGGACAGAACCATGCAGCCTCACCTGTCTGGTTGGACAAGGGCAACAGATACATGGGAACACCACCACATCCAAGTTCCCCTCCAAACCACTCACCGTCCTGACTTAGAAATATCTTGCTGCTCCTTCATTGTTGCTGGGTCAAAATCCTGGAACTCCCTCCCTAATGGCACTGTGGGTGTACCAATTCCCTCAAGGACTGCAAGGAGGCAGCTCGCCACCACCTTCTCTAGAACAATTAGGGATGGACAATAAATGCCAAACTAGACAGAGACACCCACATCGGGTAAAAGCAGCAAACCAGACTGTGAGAGTCTCCAAAGAGGGAGGGGGAACCAGCAGGGGAATGAGTCTAACTCATCAGCTTGTTCAAATGGCTGGTACAGGTCAAAATAGCTCCTAATGTGCTCCATTTGACTTGTGTAAAATGTTGAGATTTTAGCTTAAAAGGAGTGTTTGTTCCCATACTTGAGAAAAAATTTGGTTAATCCCAAGTCACCAGGCAGGAAAACCGCATAATCTCCTGTTTTTTTCATCTCATCAAAACATAATTCACATGTTTGGCTCATCAGGAAAATCAGATTTTACAGGCATGTAAAGTGAACTCTGCACCTAGTTCTGTCAAGTGGGTTAACTTAATATTATCCCCATACCGTTTCAGATCACTCTATATCACAAGCAAAAGGGCCAAGTGTGGCAGTGCACTGCAAAACCCGAGACAGAATGTAAAGTGTTAGCATTGCTAAGAATACTACACCTTGAAGACAGGCCCGACAGTGCCTTATTCAACACCTCTGGAGTATTATCAACAGAAGGAACAGTGTCCGCACTGCCCGAGTCCAATTTCGCATCACTTCCAGAGGTAGTCGACTCTGACTCCTGTACACAAATAAAATAAAAACAAGGACGGTTATTGGAGATCCGAATGAACAGAAAATATTGGAATCACACAGCAGGTCAGCCAGCATCTGAAAGAAAGGTGCATGTTTCTGCTGAGGGATTCCCCCACTCGACATGTCAATTCCTATAGGTACACCACTTCCAGATGCTGACAACGCTGCTGTCTAGTTCCACCATCTTTATGGGCTTGTTTTTCAATGGTTAGGTTCACAAGTTCAAGATAATTCACCACAGTTTGCAAAGAAAGAAAGTCTAAACTGTTACTCTTTATGATTTATCAAGGGACCATGATCTGTGGGGGTGGAATGAGTCAGAAGCAGTGCACAGGATGCTTTGACATGGGCTCCTCCATGCTTCCTGTACTGCTTTTGACTGAATTTGGGTAAGAGAGGGGAAGGAAGCCTTCCATCCTCATGACAAGGCTTTCCTCCCTGGCCCACCTTGTCTCACCATCTGTTTGTACTGTATCTGGCACACCACCTTCCAACATTGCAAGTCAGGCTGCCAGAAAATCAGCAAACAGTCTCCAGAGGCAAGTTTCAAAGACACGGAAAGAGAGTGGGAATTCGGGGACAGGAACCAGTCAAAGCAAGATCCCATGGCCGAGTAAGGTTTGCTGGCTGGAGGCAGACGGGAAAGGAATTTTGAGCGCATCCAGAGGTGATCCATAAGGAAAACCAAACTTTGTGCTCCACTTGTGTGATCTGGAGCAGACATCCAGAGGGAATCCAGACACCAGGCTGAGGATAGTTTCAATTCCTGTTAAAGAGTTATACAGCACAGAAACAGACCCTTCGGTCCAACTCATCCACGCCAACCAAACTAAACTAGTCCCGCTTGCCTGCATAGTGAATGAAAGGGATAAAATTATGAAGGATTTTGAGAAGCAGACAAGGAAGACTCTTCCCTCAGGTCCAGAGTCAGCAGTTTTAAAATCACCATCAACATCTTTATTTGAGCTTTTCAGGCAAAATGTGGAATGAATATCCAAAGCAGAGGCAACAGACACACAACTTCTTGCTTAGTTCAAATGGAGAAAGACCTCGCCCAAAATACTTAAATCATTCAACAACTATGAGCACAAATTTTTTCATTAAGGCATTCTGATTAGGGGTTCCGAACAATTTTTGGCCAACGTGTATGTTATAGCTCTAAATTTTTTGCTTGGTATGTCAATAGCAAACAAGTGTCAATAGCAACAAGGTGCATTCTGGTTCTCTGAAGCAGAGAACTCCCTGTTTCATTGAAGTAACGAAAATGAACCAGCTGTAATACAGACAATGTAGTTAAGGAGCATGGGCAGCTTCTCATAAAACAAGTCATCCTTGAAGATGCATCAACCACCAACACACACAAGTTACAATGCCTCCGCAGGCATCAAAACCCCGTAGTCCGCGTCTTGGGGCGCATCTGAACAGACCTCAAACTTTTGTCATCTTCATCATGTGGTCTTACTGACGAACCCATAGGCTGCATCTCCACGGGTGGGAACACACTGCCAGCCTTGGCCAACCTGGGGTCAAGAGGAGGCATAGCCCTTGTAGGGTGTCGGTCAAAGGGGTCAGTTCCAGAAGCACGGCTATCTGAACGCTCACAAACCATTAAACCTGAAGGAGGAAGGCCATCTTGAACATCATCTTGGGTCAGATGTACACAAACATTTTTAAAAGCACAAGGCAGCTACACTTCACAAAGGGAAGGTGCAGAAGCTGGACATTAGAAATAGGCCTAGAGTGTCACCTGCCATACACAGCCCATGGGTGAACCATTGGTTTTCAATCCACCAACAGCAGCAAGGAAGGCCACTCATGTTTCTCCAGCCTCTTGAGACAGGGCGAAGTCCTGAGGGCAACAGAAGCAGCCTGGTGGTCAAAGGATTGAGATTTCTTGTGAAACATTTGAAGCTAAAAGGATGTCAGGTAGCAATGCCTGCGAAAATGAAAGGAAATAATCATTTGTGGTCTAACTGTGGGGAGAATATGAGTCATAAGGTGCTTCTGACTGAGATGGAAACAAGCACGTGTACTTCCAAGCAGCTTCACACTGTTTGTCACTCCAACTGCTGGGCTTGGACATCTGTCTGCTCCATTTCCAGGCGGAAGCTTGCTTTCTCTGCCTGGACTATCTTGCTCAAGCTGGTATTTCAAATGCCCATGCTGCTCTTTCCTTCTGCACTGATTGGACCCAAATCAAGATCTTACTTCTCTGACTTGTACCAGGCTAGGAACCAACTGATGCAGGGTCTGCGGTTAAATCGCAAGAGAAATGGAAGCTAGAACTCCCACCCTCAACATCTCGTTCGTTCCATGTCCTGTCCCACAGCCCGTCACTTCTCCTGGCACTTTCCCATGCAAACCATACTTATGTGAATACAGTCAATGTCAACAGACTGTACAGGGAAAGCCAAAGCTTGTCCTGCGCTCAGCCCCAGTTCATAGGGCAACACAGCAAAATGATCACAAGCCTGAGCTGCAATCAGTCAACTCAGCACAGACCACAGAGCGAACCTCCAACCTCTCGGCCCAGGCCCTCATGCTTCCCAAGCCCTCAGATGCATGCTTTGCTAAATGTGGCTGGAGTGGGGAGGGGGATCACTCTCCAGTTCATTATCAATTTCACTTTGGTCCCTTTCTTGAGGGAGGATGGATTTGCATTGGAGGCAGTTCAGACAAGCTTCACTGGAAATAATTTCAGAAATGAAAGGTTTATCTCATCAGAAGAGACTGAGCGACTTAAGCTTATACTCTCTGGGTTGGAGAAGGAAGAGACGACATTCAATAAGCTGTTAAAAGTGACGGACCAAGTAGGCGTAGAGCAGATATTTCCCATTGAGCAGGAACCTAGAACTACAGGTCACAGTTTTAGGATAAAGAGGGTCACAGATTTAAAACAGATTTGAGAAGAAATTACTTCTCTCAAGGGTTCTGAATCTGTGGAATTCATGTCCCCAGAGTGGAGTGTATGCTGGAATACTGAACAAATCTAAGAAAGAGATGGATAGATTTTAATGGATTAAAGGGTGACGGATAGCAGGCAGCAAAGTGGAGTTGAGGCCGAAATGAGATCAGCCACGATTGTATTGAATGGCCAAGCAAGCTCAAGGGGCTGAATGGGGTATATTCCTGTTCCTGGTTCTTATGTTCTCATGTAAATAATACAAATGTTTCAGATGCTTGTTACAAGACCAAAATATCTCTAGTCATCTTCAATGCAAGGCACTGAGAGGTCAAAACCATTACGTCAAATACCAATTATCTGATTTAGCATCGACTACATTCCATAGCAAAGACTCCTAAGTAAATTACCCAGTATGGAATTCACAAGAGCGGATAATAAGCCCTTGTTTTTCAAAAAAGCCACATTGGGAGAGGTCAGAGCTTGCACCACTAAGCTTCCCAGCTTTATAACTGTCTTATAAACATGTGTACCTTACCCTCCTCTACAAAACGGAGCACCATGACCAAGCCTGTTTGTTACAATATGCCTTCCCCCCACAGCAACAACTACACCCCCCTACCCTTCCTGCCCTCATCATTATCAGTGTTAGTGTGTTCTTTAATCATGCCCCATGCAGCACCGAACGCAAAGTGTTGTGATCTCAATTCCACCTTTCGCCAGCTGCATCCCACTCTGTCAGTGTTTCCGATGCAGCAATGCCATCTTAACTGGCAGCCTCACCACAGGTCAACTGAACTTCTTCCTTGTCATGCCCAGCTTCAGACCATAATAGCACCCAGAATTTTATCTAACAATCTTCTCAGGCAGAATGGGAAGGCAGGTTCTCAGATCTGGCTGCTATCCTGCCTCGTCATACACTGCTGACAGTGAGGCAACTGAATCACTGCTCACGTGGGGCCAGTATAACATTCAGCAACAAGATTTAGTCAACATGACTCAGTGTGAATCGTAGGGGAATGCTATTTTAAAAGGAGCGAAGGCGAGGACCAATTCATGCCTTGAGTTTAAAAACATCAGACAGATAAATGTGGCACAAAGTCACTCCACAAAAATGGAACCCATTATTTTCATTCCATGTGTTCATGATTTGATCACTGTGTGATTTAACCTGAACTGCCGGTATGCAGTTTGGAGCCAGAGGCCAGTGGAAAAAGCTGCAAGTCCATTGCAAATACAGACTGGATTCATGTCCATGTCCCCTGCAGTTTCCTCTCCACTGGAGGCATGGGCTCTTGCAAGCTGCCCGACCAGCTTGTCAAGTCAGAGTCAAGCAAATCCCAGCAGGCTATTAGGCAATAATGGGTGTCACAGCCAAACCCAGTCTCGCCCTCCTCCTCGTAAAAGTTCAATACGCACAACTGCATTTGGGGCAGGATCTGTTCTATCAGGAACACGGCATCACAGACAAAATGGTGGGTGATGTTGCAATGCCACCGAGTCAGAAGGTCTCAAACCAAAAGGAACTATGCTTCAGTCAGTGTCATTCAGAACATGCCTCGGAGTCTAAAGGGTGCGGGTTCAAGGCCCACACAGCCCAGGACTTCAGGCAAAGAACTGAAGCTGTGACAAATGAGGGAGGTGCTGAGACATTAGCCCAAGTCCATGTCTGTTCTCAACAGTGTATTAAAACATCCAAGGGCCCTATTGTGTAAAAGGAGAAGCATAATTCCCGACAGTGTCCAGTCCAATATTTATCTTTCGATGATCTTGCCATAAACAGGTTATGCATTTGTTATGTCACATTTGTGTGTGTGTGGGAGCTTACTATGCACAAACTGTTTAGCTTGCTTCTGACAATGGATTGGGAAATCTACTGGAGCATTCCGAGAAGGTGGAAGGGGTTACATAAATGCAAGTCTCTCTCTGTCCAGAAAAAATTGCGTCATCTGGCTGGCTTTAAGAGCTGAAGTTACAATGTTTAATCTGTTTATCGCTGCACATTAGAAGCCCATTAATTATTTCTTTGAGATGTGAACTAAAACAGCAGTAAAATGAACATCTGTGAGGAGATGCGAACTTTGACTTTCCACAGATGCTAAGTGGAAAACATAATAATGAAATCTCATTGGCAGTGACATTTCTTCACTGTATGATTTAAGAGAGAAATGTAAGTGAGCAGATGATCTTAAACATCAGACTGAACAGTTATGCAGGCACTGAGGACCCTGTATGACCCTCTGATTCCTTCTCAGTTTCTGGCTTTCCATAACTTGTTGATCCTTCCTTTTTGCCCTTCGTCAACACCACCTTCGGTGCCTGATTCCCTTGTAAGAAGGATCATAAATTCACATGGGCCAGCTGGCTTTCACAATCTTGCTTTGCTGCCAGCTGTTTGACTGTGGAGTGTATCAAGCCCTCAGCTCTGCACACTGAATCACACCAGAGTGTGCAGTGACCTTTGCTGCAGCTGCTACGATAGAAAAGGGATTGTGTATTCCAATATCCGAGTTCCTTGTTTCCAGGCTTTGTAATTGTGCATTGATGTCTTTCATCTCCAAGATGTGAAACTTATCAGTCAGGTGTAAATCAAAACAGGAGGCATCAGTTTCAGCAACTTTTGATAAGATGTCGATGTCAGTTCAGATAATGTCACTTGTTCTATGGTTTCACATTGCTAAGTTAACCTTCAGGGTCAGCTGATTTCTGTGGCCATTTTAAGTTGGTGTACTTACCTTATCAAAACCGCTTCAGTCCACAACGATTCCAGGCATTAAAACCAGATGGTGGGAATTTGAAAATCGATGGTCTCTATCACGATTGTGACCAACACATTGTCCCATGTTCCGTCGTAGTGAACTTTAAGCAGCTTCCATTGCAGTGAGTTGGGGATAACGCTCAAGAGTCTGACTGTTCCAATCTGGATATGAGGCAGTGAGGGTACAAGGGATGAGCGCAGCAATCCTTGCGACACTGTCCAACAGGCTGACTAGGGTAGAAATGCCACAGCTTCTGGCACTCACAGAGAAAACTGTTTGGGGAACAGCTTCCTCCATGTGTCCTCTGCAATGTCACCGTGTTTATCAACAGATCCAGTTTGGACACCCACCAGATGCCATCAGTGCATCAATGAATGCATCGGCTTGTCAGCTTCTGCTAGTTCTTTAGCTTCATCTTAGTTTCAGCAAGATCCTGGTCACTGCTTGCACAAGATCATCATGATTGACCTCTCGGGCTAATCTCAATTCACAGCAGCCAGCAGCAACTGCCCTCAACCCCAATAACCACACGGAGATCAAATCTTTTGTGGCTAATTATTCTCAGTATTGATTACAAGCCAAGATGACAAACTACAACAAGGTCTAGTGACCTCAGAATGTAAATGTTCTCGTTCTGATATTATCAATGCCTTCAGCTTCTGTGTATAACAGAGCACTTCATTTGCCTACAATGCTCTTGGACTGAAAATTTAGTTTGAAGGTCAGTTTCCTGAGAGACAGGTAACTGCTTGTGAAGAGATGACCGTGGTTTGCCTGTTCACTCTCTCACAGTCAACATCAGTGTGCATGAACCATCGTAATGCTAATCCCAGCTCAGCAAGACATCTCCTTCAACTAATAACAACGTATTCACATCTCAAGAAACAAACCAAACCTCTGGAGTTGAGTTTCAAACCTTCATTTCCCATTCGAGTTGCTTTCCTCCCC